TCGTATACCTATCATCGACGAAGACGTCACGGGTAAGACGACACCTGGGTAAACATTGGCAGCATTTAAACTTCTTCTAACCGACGCTCCACAGTGTACCCGAGGAAGGCCTATTAAGAAGGCCGAAAACGTTTGTACTCCAGTTAATAAGGCTAGAAATTAGTGAGAAAGGTTTTGTGCTGTTAGTCTTAGAAATAGTTCTAGCTACATATGCATAGTTATGTAAGTTAAGTTTTAGTATCATTTCCTTTTCCTCTCTTCCGCCACCAATTTACACTTCCAATGTCTCTATCCTCAAAGGTAAAGTGCAAATAAAACTACATTTTTTTTAAAAATCAATTATTATTCTATTACGATTATTTAGACATTTACAACTACAAAATGCATTTTTCAGTGTTTTCCTTATTAAAGTTATTTTTTTTCAATGTACTACTTAGCTTTAATTTGAGTGTTTTTTTCATGTTGGAACGAATTATTTGGTTTTACATGTAATCTTACATGTAATACATGTAAGATTACATTATTTTACAAGATTATTTTACATGTAATTTTTTGGTTTTACATGTATGGGGAAAAATGATTCACCTTATGACATTTTCATGATACGATCTCAGTGTCGGAACGGATTAATTTCGTATCCTGAGGTACCACTGTATGAGAAGATATTTTAGTCTTATGTAATGTTGATGAAAGGTACAAAATTGTGAATTTAATGCAACATTTGAAAAGCTTACAACTACAGAATGGACCTTGGAAAATAATACAACAGGAAAAGGGAAGAGTATTTTGTAACCATGTATTAGTATACATGGTTAAAAAATTGCAATTATTGATATATCAAAATCCATATCTATGTCTTGAATGTAACATCACATAAATGACCTCAGTTGGCATGGATGCATTACTGCAAGTACTTATAGAAACTCCATGACATCCTGAATCATTAGTGGGGACTAGTCTTAATCTCTTTTCAGATTACTGTTTCAAATCCCTGATATTTTGTAGCCAGAGGATACAAAATATCAGGGATTTGAAAAGTATGGGGAAAAAAGTATGAGGTAAAAAGTATGGGGTTATAACATATGGAGATCTAGTTGGCTACAGAATATCCCCAAATCATGAGATGAGTTGATTCACAAAGAACTGCTTCAGCTTAGTCATTGTGATATGGTTATAGTCCAATTTTGTTTGGAGAATGACAACATTGTTCTTTACGAACTTTTTCATTCCACAACTGCAACCATGTTCCCATACTGTTTGGCATTAACAGTCCATCATCTTACCCTGACCTGCAATGTCAGTGGAAACTGATAGCATACCACCATCATGACTTTTGCACTATGTTGTTTTTTATATAGAAGTTGCAGATTCCCTGTGTGTCAAGTAACAGAAGTTTTACTTAATTCACAAATTCATTAAGGTAAAAGTTTGCTCATCAGACATTAGAACAGGATGAATCACTTTTAACTGCTTGGGTAATCTCTCAAGGAATGGTATAGGAATGTTATACAGAAGTCTGTTGACTGTAGTTCTTGAACAACTCACAATATGTACAGATGGAACTTTAAATCAAACTTTCCACATCTCACACTCCTTTGATAGATTGTGGTAACATTTCATGGTGACAAAATTAGTGCAGCTCTGCAGCAAAGTCCCCAGCAATGTCTTTTTGGGCTTTTCAGGCTCTATATCAGTGACCTAACTGTTAATTGCCACAGTTTCATCCAAATGAATATAGTTCTTCTGTCTGGAATATGGCAATGGCAGTTCTTTCCACAACTCATACTGCATGGCTGTAATACTCTTCCCAAACATGTAGGCCTCCACAGCTGCACATGGACCCATAAGCATATTTCCTGAGATTCACACTGTATTCACACAAAATAATTTACTTATGCCATTTATACAATTAGCTCTTGCTATTGTTTATATAATATTTTTAACTGTTACAGATGTTCTTTGGCCAAAGATTATCTGATGCAAACACCAATTAAATGGCAGTGGGCAGTTAATTGGTTAAAGAAAATGATGTCAGAACATACTTATTGGGGTCCACAATCAAATATCCCACTTTCTAATGAAGATTCTAATACCAAAACATTCCAGCGTACCGTTAGTGCTCAAGTAAGTTAATTTAAAATATCTCTATGACAGACAATTTTGTCTTGTAAATTCATCACTTTGAAATGTTGAAAATTATTTAGTTTTTCTACTGTTAACATTTACTATGCATATGTATTTAAATAAATTTTTTCCTTAGGATACTTTAGCTGATGCAACAGCTTTACTAACGGAATTAGAATCGCCCGAAAATCAAGATCTGGTCATGGACATGGATGAAGAAAACAAAAGTCAAGGAATATTCATGAAACTTGATCAAGAAGAGAAAGTACAAATACAGAATACACAGAATACAAAAGAACCTACAAACAAGGAAGATAATGGCAAATTAAAACGTGTACAGGGTATGGACGATTTAGATTGTATTGATCCTTGAATTCTCACATCAACTTCTGTGGTATTTTAGATATTTCAAAAAATAACAGTGCCAATATTTTGTCATATATGCAAGAATATATATACAGAATTTATTAGATTATATAACAGATTTTTTTTATATATATATATATATATATATATAAAATGTTGTTGTTGTTACAAGTTATTATGCTGCCACAAATTTGCATAAATTTGATTCTATTTCTTCTATGCAATGACATTACTGTGGATGTTTATGGCAATGGCAAAATTTTAAACTCAACACAACAATTTGTTTCTAAAGAATACGTAAATCTAACCATAAAATTCTTTAGGGACAGCTGTTTTATTGACAAATCCAACTTTTCTGAATTTGTGATGAGTAAATATCTATTTTTCTCAAGAAATATATTACTATGCATTTTTTGAAATGATTTTTTTTGTAATATAATTGTTTTGTTGAAAATTTTTAAATTTCTTCTTACAGATGAATTAGATACTTGATAATTGGACTGTCATTAATATTTTATTGTTAATAATACAGCCAAACAGAAAACAAAAGTAATTGTTTTGTTTGATGTTTGTTCATACAGAAACTTACAAAAATTACAATGCAAGTTGTATATAACAAATCTTATTTTTAAGAAGTTATTTCACTAAATATGTTTAGAAAAAATTGTCATTCATTTTATTGTTTTTTTAGTGTTAGTTATTTTGAGAACAAACTTGTAAATATGCTTTATAAAATATTGAAGTATTTACTGTACATAATTTGCCAAAATGTTTTTATACAAAGAAATAGATATTTTGTAAAAAGAATTCATTTTGTTTAGAATTACGTACTAATATCTCTTATTTAAACAGACGAATATAATGTTTCTGTTAAGCAGAAGTTGAGAAGAAACTATTTTGTATCACCCTGTATGAAAAAAAAAAGGAGAAAAGATCATTGTTATCATCAGAAATATGCTTGGCTGTACATAAAAAATTAATTTATTTGCTAAAATTGATCATCATGCAAATTGTTTTTAGATATAAAAATTTATGTAATTCTGATACCATAGTAAGTATCTGTTTGTGTTGATTGAATAACATTTAGATAACATAAAATATTTTCTTTAATATGAATTTTGTATTTTTTCATTTAAACCCATTAATTGATAAAATACAACTTGAAAAATAGTAATTTAAAATATTGCCCTTGACATAAAATATTATTATGCATGAAAAAATAATAATCAATTTTAAAAACCTCTACAGGGTTCCCATTACATAGGACTGATACAACAAACTTAAATTTTGCTATAGAAATTGTGTAATTTCAATCAGGATACAAGAAAGGTTTGGAGATGGTAATATAAATTTTACTTTCTTAATAACATCTTCAACTGGAGTGGCTGCCAGAAACCAATAAGATCTTGTGATTAATATATCCCAGATTTAAACTCAATACTTATAAAACTTTCTTCTCATAATTTTTCCCAAAGTATTCATATTATGTATCAATGAAAAAATCAAGGCTTATTTACTGCTACTATTTTAATTAAGTTAAAACTGGAAGAACAACTCTTAAATAACTCTACATTCTAAATTCATATATTTAATCACACACTATTCTAACATTTTCAAATGTATATACAAAAAATACTTGGATTAAATTAGTGCCTCTAAAACATACCAGCTATGAATTTGTGTCAAGAAATATCTTGAAATTGATGTTTTAACTAACATTTATCAAAACTGTATAGTCTCATATATGTATAAGGACCATGAAGTTTTTCAATTAGATTTAGGGTGTCTTGGTACCAAAGAGCTTGAGAAGCACTGCTGACAGAAATTATGCATTACTGTACTGTATATTAAAAAAGTAAATGGGCAAAAACTTATGAAAATATAATTTATTAATAAATCTTTTTACATACAATTCCAAATTTTTAACTTAAATCCACTTGTCCCATTGTTTTCAAATCTGAAGAAATCTATATAAAGGAAAAAAAGGCACATTTAAATTATTATAATTGAATTATGGAAGTAATTATAGCTGAACTTTTTCTATGGACTTTTGAATGAAAAGATACAACTCATGACAACTGCTATTTCTGTTAATGATTAGGAGCAATTGCTAACAAGTACATTTCTATAATCTTTCACAACGATAGTGGATCATCATCATCGTTCTACATAAAAGTTGATTAAAAGAAATCTCACTAGCTTTCCTCTATTTGATATACATCAATCTCTCATTATGAATATACTAAAGAAGATATGTACAGTGATTTTTCTTTACTCCTTATCAGTTATTAATAGTTCTAGCATTAGCACATAAAATTTTATTAAATTTCTGAAACAAATTGCTAATGTTAAGAATGAATAGAATGAAAAGGCTGTCTTCTTGTAATTTATGGAATCAGAAATATTTTGTATGTGAGGAAAAACACCTTTCCTTAAACATTAGTGATGTAGCCATCTATAAATGGTTTATTTTTCTTGAATTTAATAATTCAAGAAAAATTTTTATGATAATTTCTGTATTTAATATCAAAATTAAGAGAACTAAAGAATTATATAAATTAAATTCTATTTGGATTGTAAATGTTAGTTATTTATATTAGGGAATGACAATTTAAAGAGAAGTTTAGATTTATCTGCTCTGGTTTAATATTAAAGAAAAATGATTATGAGTTAGAGATCATAGAACATACTTCCATCACAAGATTTTCTTATTTTGAATGAAATTTATAACAAGTTTCCTAAATAAACATGCTAATTACACATATACAATTTCAAACAATATAAATATCAAATTACTTAAGAATGAGAGATATTTTATTCATCTGATAAATTTGACCAAGCTTTCCCCCTTTTTTAATGAGAAACCTTTGCAAATTCATGTAATCTTATACCTTTAATAGTATTAAATTTAAATTATGCTTAATATACAATCTATTTTTTAAGCAAAATAAAGAAATAATTATGGATTCATCCATAGCAAGATTGACAACGGAAGTAGAAGTAATTAAGTTTCTAAACCATAACATTATTTTGTATAAAAACTACTATGTATGCATTAGTTATATGACAAAAAGAAAAGCAGTCTATAAAAAATGATTTTGTAAATGATCTAAAGATTTCAATGATGATATTAATTTTTTAAATTATCAATCCATTCTCTAACTATCATGAATGCTTACAGGAGATATGTAACATAAATTACAAAGTAGCTCATCATTGATCTCTAGAACAGAAGCAATTTGCTATCTCAGGAATTTTAATATTTTTAATAAAATAATAATAATTTTGTGTGCTAAATAAAAAAGAAAAAACAATTAATACACCTTTATCTCCCATCATGAATGTACTAAATAAAGATTTGTTAGCAATTAAATGAATGTAATGAATGTACAATTATTAAAAATAAAGTTTAAAGATGGAGGAAAGAAGAATATTCACAGCGTTTATATGACAAAAAAGTTGTAAGCTTGATAAAATTTATTTAGTACTATCTGTTTGCTCATGTTTCTTCTCATTGTGTACTTATTTATATCTTTTTTAAATCTCAAACATATAAGATTTGTCAGGCTAAAATATTTTACAGAAAATTAAGTCCTTTATTTGAATTTCTATTTACCAGAGAAAAGTAATTATAAAAATCCTTAAAGTCTGAGTGAAACACTTACTTCAAAAGGACTTCCTGTGGTATTTAGCATTTCTTCCATTGTAACTTCTTCTGCAATCTCAGTTAATGTTAATCCTTTTTCTTTGTCAACTTCAAATACACCCTGAAATCATATATATATATATATGATTTATATATAATGTATTGTACTGAAATTTTATATATATATATATATAAAATTTCAGTACAGTTTCAGTTTATAAATTTTTAAAATTACCTTTTCTGTAATTATTAAATCAATGCATTTTTGACCTGTAATAGGTAATGTACAATTGTCCACAATTTTTGGTGATCCATCTATGGCTGTATGTTCTGTAGTTACTATGACCTTTGTACCCATCAAAGCACTAGAAACCAAATCCATTGCACCTCCCATTCCTTTGACTAATTTTCCCTACATATAATAATAAATAATTTAAATATACAAAAATTTTATATTAATGTTAATAATTTTCCTTATATAAATATATGACATTTTTCCTTTCCAATTGAACTAAACGAGAATAAATGTTATAAAGTACCTAGGTATAAAAATAGATGACAATTTTCATTGGAAAAAGCAAATAGATGACATTGCCTTGTCTTTAGCTAAGTACATTGGGATAAATAAAAAAATTCAAAGCTTTTTAAGTATATCACAGTTGAAGCAATTATATCACACATGCATGGAATCTAAAATAAGATATGGAATATCAATTTGGGGAACTGCATCCTTATATATAATTAGCAAACTCCAGGTGTACAAAATCGTTTCATTCGTTCAATTCATAATCTATATTTCAGGGAATCAGTGTCGGAACTTTACCATACTGAAAAAATTGATAGAATATGTGAAATTTACATAAAACAAGTCCTGCTGGAGAGCTATAAATTTATAACGGGTAACAAAGAAAACAGTTATCTTGGGAACAAGATGAGTGAACATCAAAATGGGATCCTCGTAGGTCCTATGGTCAAAACTTACGGTGGGAAAATCTGCACCAATTTTTCAGATGATTTCTTATTGGAATAGATTATAGTTTGACATCTCTTAAGTCATTACTTAAAGTCTTCAAAAAAAAAAAAAAAAAAAAAAAAAAAAAAAAAAAAAAAAAAAAAAAAAAAAAAAAAAAAAAAAAAAAAAAAAAAAAAAAAAAAAAAAAAAAAAAAAAAAAAAAAAAAAAAAAAAAAAAAAAAAAAAAAAAAAAAAAAAAAAAAAAAAAAAAAAAAAAAAAAAAAAAAAAAAAAAAAAAAAAAAAAAAAAAAAAAAAAAAAAAAAAAAAAAAAAAAAAAAAAAAAAAAAAAAAAAAAAAAAAAAAAAAAAAAAAAAAAAAAAAAAAAAAAAAAAAAAAAAAAAAAAAAAAAAAAAAAAAAAAAAAAAAAAAAAAAAAAAAAAAAAAAAAAAAAAAAAAAAAAAAAAAAAAAAAAAAAAAAAAAAAAAAAAAAAAAAAAAAAAAAAAAAAAAAAAAAAAAAAAAAAAAAAAAAAAAAAAAAAAAAAAAAAAAAAAAAAAAAAAAAAAAAAAAAAAAAAAAAAAAAAAAAAAAAAAAAAAAAAAAAAAAAAAAAAAAAAAAAAAAAAAAAAAAAAAAAAAAAAAAAAAAAAAAAAAAAAAAAAAAAAAAAAAAAAAAAAAAAAAAAAAAAAAAAAAAAAAAAAAAAAAAAAAAAAAAAAAAAAAAAAAAAAAAAAAAAAAAAAAAAAAAAAAAAAAAAAAAAAAAAAAAAAAAAAAAAAAAAAAAAAAAAAAAAAAAAAAAAAAAAAAAAAAAAAAAAAAAAAAAAAAAAAAAAAAAAAAAAAAAAAAAAAAAAAAAAAAAAAAAAAAAAAAAAAAAAAAAAAAAAAAAAAAAAAAAAAAAAAAAAAAAAAAAAAAAAAAAAAAAAAAAAAAAAAAAAAAAAAAAAAAAAAAAAAAAAAAAAAAAAAAAAAAAAAAAAAAAAAAAAAAAAAAAAAAAAAAAAAAAAAAAAAAAAAAAAAAAAAAAAAAAAAAAAAAAAAAAAAAAAAAAAAAAAAAAAAAAAAAAAAAAAAAAAAAAAAAAAAAAAAAAAAAAAAAAAAAAAAAAAAAAAAAAAAAAAAAAAAAAAAAAAAAAAAAAAAAAAAAAAAAAAAAAAAAAAAAAAAAAAAAAAAAAAAAAAAAAAAAAAAAAAAAAAAAAAAAAAAAAAAAAAAAAAAAAAAAAAAAAAAAAAAAAAAAAAAAAAAAAAAAAAAAAAAAAAAAAAAAAAAAAAAAAAAAAAAAAAAAAAAAAAAAAAAAAAAAAAAAAAAAAAAAAAAAAAAAAAAAAAAAAAAAAAAAAAAAAAAAAAAAAAAAAAAAAAAAAAAAAAAAAAAAAAAAAAAAAAAAAAAAAAAAAAAAAAAAAAAAAAAAAAAAAAAAAAAAAAAAAAAAAAAAAAAAAAAAAAAAAAAAAAAAAAAAAAAAAAAAAAAAAAAAAAAAAAAAAAAAAAAAAAAAAAAAAAAAAAAAAAAAAAAAAAAAAAAAAAAAAAAAAAAAAAAAAAAAAAAAAAAAAAAAAAAAAAAAAAAAAAAAAAAAAAAAAAAAAAAAAAAAAAAAAAAAAAAAAAAAAAAAAAAAAAAAAAAAAAAAAAAAAAAAAAAAAAAAAAAAAAAAAAAAAAAAAAAAAAAAAAAAAAAAAAAAAAAAAAAAAAAAAAAAAAAAAAAAAAAAAAAAAAAAAAAAAAAAAAAAAAAAAAAAAAAAAAAAAAAAAAAAAAAAAAAAAAAAAAAAAAAAAAAAAAAAAAAAAAAAAAAAAAAAAAAAAAAAAAAAAAAAAAAAAAAAAAAAAAAAAAAAAAAAAAAAAAAAAAAAAAAAAAAAAAAAAAAAAAAAAAAAAAAAAAAAAAAAAAAAAAAAAAAAAAAAAAAAAAAAAAAAAAAAAAAAAAAAAAAAAAAAAAAAAAAAAAAAAAAAAAAAAAAAAAAAAAAAAAAAAAAAAAAAAAAAAAAAAAAAAAAAAAAAAAAAAAAAAAAAAAAAAAAAAAAAAAAAAAAAAAAAAAAAAAAAAAAAAAAAAAAAAAAAAAAAAAAAAAAAAAAAAAAAAAAAAAAAAAAAAAAAAAAAAAAAAAAAAAAAAAAAAAAAAAAAAAAAAAAAAAAAAAAAAAAAAAAAAAAAAAAAAAAAAAAAAAAAAAAAAAAAAAAAAAAAAAAAAAAAAAAAAAAAAAAAAAAAAAAAAAAAAAAAAAAAAAAAAAAAAAAAAAAAAAAAAAAAAAAAAAAAAAAAAAAAAAAAAAAAAAAAAAAAAAAAAAAAAAAAAAAAAAAAAAAAAAAAAAAAAAAAAAAAAAAAAAAAAAAAAAAAAAAAAAAAAAAAAAAAAAAAAAAAAAAAAAAAAAAAAAAAAAAAAAAAAAAAAAAAAAAAAAAAAAAAAAAAAAAAAAAAAAAAAAAAAAAAAAAAAAAAAAAAAAAAAAAAAAAAAAAAAAAAAAAAAAAAAAAAAAAAAAAAAAAAAAAAAAAAAAAAAAAAAAAAAAAAAAAAAAAAAAAAAAAAAAAAAAAAAAAAAAAAAAAAAAAAAAAAAAAAAAAAAAAAAAAAAAAAAAAAAAAAAAAAAAAAAAAAAAAAAAAAAAAAAAAAAAAAAAAAAAAAAAAAAAAAAAAAAAAAAAAAAAAAAAAAAAAAAAAAAAAAAAAAAAAAAAAAAAAAAAAAAAAAAAAAAAAAAAAAAAAAAAAAAAAAAAAAAAAAAAAAAAAAAAAAAAAAAAAAAAAAAAAAAAAAAAAAAAAAAAAAAAAAAAAAAAAAAAAAAAAAAAAAAAAAAAAAAAAAAAAAAAAAAAAAAAAAAAAAAAAAAAAAAAAAAAAAAAAAAAAAAAAAAAAAAAAAAAAAAAAAAAAAAAAAAAAAAAAAAAAAAAAAAAAAAAAAAAAAAAAAAAAAAAAAAAAAAAAAAAAAAAAAAAAAAAAAAAAAAAAAAAAAAAAAAAAAAAAAAAAAAAAAAAAAAAAAAAAAAAAAAAAAAAAAAAAAAAAAAAAAAAAAAAAAAAAAAAAAAAAAAAAAAAAAAAAAAAAAAAAAAAAAAAAAAAAAAAAAAAAAAAAAAAAAAAAAAAAAAAAAAAAAAAAAAAAAAAAAAAAAAAAAAAAAAAAAAAAAAAAAAAAAAAAAAAAAAAAAAAAAAAAAAAAAAAAAAAAAAAAAAAAAAAAAAAAAAAAAAAAAAAAAAAAAAAAAAAAAAAAAAAAAAAAAAAAAAAAAAAAAAAAAAAAAAAAAAAAAAAAAAAAAAAAAAAAAAAAAAAAAAAAAAAAAAAAAAAAAAAAAAAAAAAAAAAAAAAAAAAAAAAAAAAAAAAAAAAAAAAAAAAAAAAAAAAAAAAAAAAAAAAAAAAAAAAAAAAAAAAAAAAAAAAAAAAAAAAAAAAAAAAAAAAAAAAAAAAAAAAAAAAAAAAAAAAAAAAAAAAAAAAAAAAAAAAAAAAAAAAAAAAAAAAAAAAAAAAAAAAAAAAAAAAAAAAAAAAAAAAAAAAAAAAAAAAAAAAAAAAAAAAAAAAAAAAAAAAAAAAAAAAAAAAAAAAAAAAAAAAAAAAAAAAAAAAAAAAAAAAAAAAAAAAAAAAAAAAAAAAAAAAAAAAAAAAAAAAAAAAAAAAAAAAAAAAAAAAAAAAAAAAAAAAAAAAAAAAAAAAAAAAAAAAAAAAAAAAAAAAAAAAAAAAAAAAAAAAAAAAAAAAAAAAAAAAAAAAAAAAAAAAAAAAAAAAAAAAAAAAAAAAAAAAAAAAAAAAAAAAAAAAAAAAAAAAAAAAAAAAAAAAAAAAAAAAAAAAAAAAAAAAAAAAAAAAAAAAAAAAAAAAAAAAAAAAAAAAAAAAAAAAAAAAAAAAAAAAAAAAAAAAAAAAAAAAAAAAAAAAAAAAAAAAAAAAAAAAAAAAAAAAAAAAAAAAAAAAAAAAAAAAAAAAAAAAAAAAAAAAAAAAAAAAAAAAAAAAAAAAAAAAAAAAAAAAAAAAAAAAAAAAAAAAAAAAAAAAAAAAAAAAAAAAAAAAAAAAAAAAAAAAAAAAAAAAAAAAAAAAAAAAAAAAAAAAAAAAAAAAAAAAAAAAAAAAAAAAAAAAAAAAAAAAAAAAAAAAAAAAAAAAAAAAAAAAAAAAAAAAAAAAAAAAAAAAAAAAAAAAAAAAAAAAAAAAAAAAAAAAAAAAAAAAAAAAAAAAAAAAAAAAAAAAAAAAAAAAAAAAAAAAAAAAAAAAAAAAAAAAAAAAAAAAAAAAAAAAAAAAAAAAAAAAAAAAAAAAAAAAAAAAAAAAAAAAAAAAAAAAAAAAAAAAAAAAAAAAAAAAAAAAAAAAAAAAAAAAAAAAAAAAAAAAAAAAAAAAAAAAAAAAAAAAAAAAAAAAAAAAAAAAAAAAAAAAAAAAAAAAAAAAAAAAAAAAAAAAAAAAAAAAAAAAAAAAAAAAAAAAAAAAAAAAAAAAAAAAAAAAAAAAAAAAAAAAAAAAAAAAAAAAAAAAAAAAAAAAAAAAAAAAAAAAAAAAA